AGGCTATAGGTTCAATCCCCTGTTGGACCTGGGATCTTTTTGGGTGGAGTTTGCACGTTCTTGTCGTGCTTGTGTGGGTTTTCTCCAGGTACTCCGGTTTCCTCCCACAGATCAAAAACATGCATGTTAGGCTGCCTTCAGGCCCAGGCCTTCCTTGCAAAAGAGAGCTGTGATCTCAATGGGATTTGCCTGGTTAAATAAAGTTTAATAATAAATAAATAATGCTGCAGAAAGTTCATGCATAAACTGCAAAAATTCTGGGTGGAAAAACTGAAAAAAAGTACCTATTAATATGGTTATTTTAAATGATAACTTTATTAAAGTTACAAGGAACCACTTGACAGGGGCTGGAGCCACACACGGCTCCAAAGCCTCTGCAGACCCCTGCCATCCCACTCCCCAACCCAACTGCTGACCCTCTGAGGAAAACCTTTCAGCTGAAAACACCCCATCCCCCATTAGCAAAACAAGACTGACTTCCATTTGTTTTATACTGCACGACTCATGCTTTAAAAAAAAAGAATTGATTGTACAAATGTAAGTAAGAAGAACGAATAGCCCAAATTAAATTATAATAAGGAATTTGGGGATAAATTGAACTATTGCTCAAGGTTAATAAAGTACTTGTTTTTCAATAGGTTTTAACCATTTTTTGATACCTAAAGATTTTGAGATTCACAATGATTCTTAAAACAAAGTTCTCATCAATATAGACATCTAAAAACTTTGTTGATGAATCATCCATCCATCCATCCATTATCTTTACCTGCTTATTCCATTTTGGGTCACGGGGGTCGCTGGTGCCCATGTCCAGCAATCACTGTGCGAGGGGCGGGGTACACCCTGGACGGGTCGCAAGTCCATCACTGGGCCACATAGAGACAAATGAGACAAACAACCATTCACTCTCTCACTCACACATAGGGACAATTTAGAGTTACCAATCAGCCTAACATGCATGTTTTTGGTCTGTGGGAGGAAACTGGAGTACCCGGAGAAAACCCACGCATGCACGGAGAGAACATGCAAACTCGACCCAGAAAGGCCCCTGGACCAGGGTTTGAACCAGGGATTTGCTCGCTGAGAGGCAGCAGCTCTACCAGTTGCGCCACCGTGCTGCCCTGTTGATGAATCATTGGAAAGTAAATTGTTATCAGTATGAATTTTAGTTTTTTTCAGGATTGTAATTCTTATTTTTAAGTAAGATGAAATTAGACCGTTTTACATCAAGTGATAGTTTATTTAACTGAAACCACTGAGCAAGGTGATTTGGTGAGTCAAGGTTACTGTCAGTCACAAAAAGATTGGTGTCATCAGCAAATAAGGTGACAAAATACTAGATACTTTTGTTAGATCAATAATGTACAAAGTATATGAGAAAAAACAATGGACCCAAAATGGATCCTTGTGGAACTCCACATTTTAGAACATCCAGCTGTGATAATTTATCATTAAAAATTACAATTTGCTCTCTGTTGTGCAAATAATTTTCAACCCATTTCAGAACATTATTATTAAAACCACAAGAAGACAGTTTTGCTAATAAGATTTCATAAGTCAGTGTCAAAAGCTTTTGATAAGTCTAAGAAAATTCCTAGAGTATATTCATTTTTCTCAAAAGCAGTTTAAATATTTTCTCTGTGATGCAAGAGAGCCATATATGTAGAACAATTCCTAAAACCATACTATGCTCAAAAATTATTGTTGGCATCAAGATGCTTCAATTGTCTAGCGTACACCAACTTTTCAAGTATCTTGGGAAAGCAAGGGAGAACTGGAATGGGACGATAATTTGAAAATACAGATGGATCAGCGCCTTTAAACAGTGGGGTAACCTTGGCAAGTTATAAATCTTGTGGGATAATACCAGATTCAAGTGACATGGTGTCAAGGGAATTTAGGGAAACGTTTATGGACGTCTATCACTGCTAATATTTAATTAATGTTGAACCACGTGTTTGAGTTAGCAGAAAGAGTTGAATGAGTTGCTGCTTTGATACTTCGTGTGCAGCTGGTACTCCAAGGTCGTCTCCGAGTCTGTAAGCTGGAAAGCCAAGGTCGTCCTAACTGGCCTCTGTCTGATAAGTGTGTATTATATAAGCATATCTCTCACACTGTCTGGTTGCAGATTCTCACAATGAGGATCTAAGCATGTAACTTTGAACGTCTGTAAAAGCATGTTTCATGACCGTCTGCCCTTGTAACTAAACTTGGTTAAAAATCTTGTTTTTGTGTGGCTCCTTTTTGTAAGTAGATAATGAAAGCATTTTTTTTAATCCAACACATGGAAACAAATAAATGTTAAAGGAACAACAATTATAAGGTGCAATTTTTTTTGTATAAGATAGGCTGTAATTTTGTCAAGGCCATCTGAAGAGTTTTTAAGATTCTTATTGATATCAAGTAGCTATAAAGGCTTTATTGGATAAAAATTATTTAAAGAGGGATAACCTTAATTTATGAAGTTAGAAGAAGAAATCGTTCTGTATGATAGCTATTTTATGCAGTAGGGAGAGTCCTAATAGAGTAAAAAGTTTACTTAACTTATTGAAGTGTGTCCTGTGCTAAATTCATCCATCCATCCATTATCTTTTACCCGCTTCTTCCATTTTGGGTCACAGGGGTTGCCGGTGCCCATATCCAGCCATCACTGTGCAAGGAGCGGGGTACACCCTGGACAGGTCTCCAGTCCATCACAGGGCCACATAGAGACAAACGAGACAAACAACCATTCACTCTCTCACTCACACCTAGGGACAATTTAGAGTTACCAATCAGCCTAACATGCAAGTTTTTTGGTCTGTGGGAAAAAACCCGGGTACCCAGAGAAAACCCACGAATGCACAGAGAGAACATGCAAACTCCACTCAGAGAGATCCTTGGCTGGGATTTGATCTGGCAACCTTCTTGCTGAGAGGTGGCATCTCCACCAACTGTGCCACCGTGATGCCCTGCCTCCTGAGACTCAGCATCCTAATGTTGATTACATTAATCTTATACTGGTTGTACAAACCGGATTCCAAAAAAGTTGGGACACTAAACAAATTGTGAATAAAATCTGAATGCAATGATGTGGAGGTGCCAACATCTAATATTTTATTCAGAATAGAACACAAATCACAGATCAAAAGTTTAAACTGAGAGAATGTATCATTTTAAGGGAAAAATCGGTTGTTTCCGAATTTCATGGCGTCAACAAATCCCAAAAAAGTTGGGACAAGTCCATTTTTACCACTGTGTGGCATCTCCCCTTCTTCTTACAACACTCAACAGACGTCTGGGCACAGAGGAGACCAGTTTCTCAAGTTTAGAAATAGGAATGCTCTCCCATTCATGTCTAATACAGGCCTCTAACTGTTCAATCATCTTGGGCCTTCTTTATCGCACCTTCCTCTTTATGATGCGCCAAATGTTCTCTACAGGTGAAAGATCTGGACTGCAGGCTGGCCATTTCAGTACTCGGATCCTTCTCCTACATAGCCATGATGTTGTGATTGCTGCAGAATGTGGTCTGGCATTATCGTGTTGAAAAATGCAGGGTTTTCCCTGAAAGAGATGACGTCTAGATGGGAGCACATGTTGTTCTAGAACCTGAACATAGTTCTCTGCATTAACGGTGCCTTTCCAGACATGCAAGCTGCCCATGCCACAAGCGCTCATGCAACCCCATACCATCAGTGATGCAGGCTTCTGAACGGAGTGTTGATAACAACTTGGGCTATCCTTGTCCTCTCTGGTCCAGATGACATGGCGTCCCAGTGCTCCATAAAGAACTTCAAATGGTTACTCATCTGACCACAGAACAGTCTTCCATTTTGCCACACTCCATTTTAAATGACCCCTGGCCCAGTGCAAACGTCTGAGCTTATGGAGCTTGCTTAGAAATGGCTTCCTCTTTGCACTGTAGAGTTTCAGCTGGCACTCTGAGAAGCTCTTTTTATACCAAATCATTTGGTCTTCCAGCTGTTCGTTATATGCTCATTTTCCTTTTGCCAGCCACTTATTGCTACTTGTCCCAACTTTTTTGGGATTTGTTGACACTGTGAAATTTTGAATCAACATATTTTCTTTTAAAATGTTACATTTACTCAGATTAAACTTTTGATCTGTCATCTATGTTATATTACAAATAAAATATTGACATTTGCCATCTCCACATCATTGCATGCAGTTTTTATTCACAATTTGTTTAATGTCCCAATTTTTTTGGAATCCGGTTTGTACTTTTTCAGGAGGACTAGATTTTCAGTTTTATGTTTAATTTTTTTTTAACCATATTTAATTTAATATTTTAAACTCCCGTTTGCCTAAAAACAATGTGTGCCCTTATGTTTGTGAGGTTCTACTAATACTAAATAGCTAGGGGGATTAAATAAATGCACACCAAGCAGTCTTGGGAATTGAGCATAAAATTATGTGGTCAAGGTGGGTGGGGCTAGTGTAAGGACAAGAATAATTTAAAAAGTGGACATCCCCCCCTGGCTCCCCTTCAGTGGCACCCCTGCAAGTAAGCAAGTCCGTTGCTCTTCAGTTAAGGAACTGACTTTAAATTAGTTTGTGGACTAAATATGAAAACAAAAGGCAAAATATAATAGACAATATGGAAAAATTAAAAGAAAACAAAAGGTTAAAAAAAAACAAGAACGATCAAAAGATGTATTGAAAAACTAAAGCATAGTTATTTCTAACTTGCATTTTATACAAAACTTAGACTATAAGACTGTGATTCATTTGTTTACTGAGAATAGGAACCTTAGAGGCGGAACTATGTACGTTCCACTTTCAGTGACGGGTTTATTTCCTAGTTGCTCAACAGTGTTTAGCATTAGGCATTAGCAACCAGTAGCCCGATATAGCAACTCACATTTGTTAAATGTGATTTTCATATATGTATTCTTTAACATCAGAGGCGGATAGTGAGGTGTAAAACTCAACGATGTAGTTGATTAGCAGCTCATTTCCGTGTAAGTTTTCATTCATTTTCATCAGAAAAAGTGAGGATGTCGGGATGTTTATCACCTTTTAAACGCTTCTTGTTTGTTAGAAAAGTTATCAAGCTGCATACACAGACAGACAGACCTCTTTCTAAAACCTGCAGCACCGATGAGCTTATCAGAAGATTTATATCCGAGAACACAGAGGTGGTTGTGGGGAAGAGTCTGACTCCTGAGATCAAACTGAGATTATTTACTCCCGACTGCAGATTCTGGAGAGAAAAACCAGAGCTCTGGCCTTTCGATGACCCGTACTGGGCAATTTATTGGCCGGGAGGACAGGCACTCTCAAGGTCCGATAACCACCATCATAAATAAACCTGGTTAGACCTCTTAGTTTTGGTTCATGTTTTTACTACGTCCGTGCAGGTACCTCCTGGATCATCCAGGTGTGTGTCGGGGGAGGTCTGTGCTGGATCTGGGCAGCGGCTGTGGAGCCTCGGCCATCTCTGCCAAACTCTGTGGTGCTGCTCATGTAGTGGCCAATGACATCGACCCTGGTGGGCTTTTATTTATTTATTCCCTCTTCTATAAGACATCTACTTCAAATTATTTTGGTACAGTTTAATTTACTTCCATACATAAACAAAATGTGGTCAAATGTCTAACTTTAGGATGATAAAAGGAAAAAAAAAAAGTTATTGAAGCAGAGTTGCAAAGTCTTAACAAAGCAATGGTACATTCAGATTATAGACTTTTTATTGGTTTTCAGATTTAGTTAAATGGAGAGCTTCAAATTAATGCATTTTGCCTTTGGGAGATGAGCTCAGAATATGTGTTGCAGGTGAATCGCCGTCAGCTACTACCATGTTATATTTACAAGTTCAATGATCTTTATAGAATAGATTAGACCTTTATTGTCACTGCACCTGAGTACAACGAAATTTGGGTTTGCTTCCCAGAGCAAATGTAAAAACAGTACAATATAAAACAAAGCAACAAATATTTATCTATAAATATAAATTGTATAAAAGGTAATAGTTAGAGTTTAAACACTCAATATGTGCAACACAAGCAGACTGATATTACACAAGTTGTCTCTTAATGCACTTATTACGTTCTTATTACAGCTTTAGTTAAGTTCAGTAACAGAGGGGTAAAAATTATTTTTAAATCTGTTTGTTCTTGTCTTGATAGACAAATCATTTCCCTGATGGTAACAGTTAAAACAGATCATGTCCAGGGTGAGATGTGTCCTTTAAGATGTTGTGGGCTTTTCCTATGCAGCAGGAAAAAAGTGTGGATCTTCCAGAGAGAAGAAGGCAGCCCATGATCTTCTGGGCTGTGCTGATAACTTATTGTCCTCTTAAGGCAATTTGTTCTGCAGCCAGCTGTATAAAATAAATAAAAACACAGAAACAAACATGTAAAGCATTCAGAAAATCACAACAAATAATTTAAAAACCTAATGGGATAAAGGGATAAAAAGAGTCTCTGAGACTGTTGGTCCTTCATCTGAGCAGCAGAAATCTGCATCCAGAGGGAAGGAGTTTGAACTCCTGGTGCAGCGGGTGATGTGGGTCTGCCAGGATCAGTGAGGTTGCCAATGGTTGTGCCAACAGTTAGGCAGATGATTTATAGATACTGCATGCACCCACTCACTGATTCCTGTTTCATTAAAATCCATCCAGTGGTTCATGCAATATTTTGTTAACAGACAGACAGGGTTGACTTCACAAAGATCTTGTGTGATCTGATAGGGTTTATGTGTTGGGGATCAACTTCTTCTTCTTTCGGCTTTCCCCTCTTCAGGTGTCGCCACAGTGAGTTATCCTCCTCCATCTCACTCTGTCCTCTGCATCCTCTGACCTCACTCCAACTAACTCCATGTCCGCTCTAACCTCATCTATATATCTTCTCTGGGGATCAACTGATGCGCATTAATTCTTAATTAATTCATTACTTTACTATAACTGAACTTTAAAATTGTTACCTCATGACAGTCCTTCTCAAATAGTGGGGCGCGCCCCCCTGGGGGAGCCCGGGGCAATGCCAGAGGGGGCTCGTGTGACCCTAGAAAACATGCTTATTTTGCCGCAAGGAGTAGGTTTTTTTTTTTCTTCCCCCACCATCCTCATTTTGTCGCGTGCGTTCCTAATAATAAAGTTATAAGCAAATATGGCTGCCTTGTGGTTTTTGGAGCCATGCATGAACTGTGTCTCTCCCCTCTGCTGCTGACACGATAAATAAACTCCGACCGTCCGTCACCTCCTCCGTCGCTGTTTTTATGTCCATGCGCTCTGGACTGGACGTCACTCACAGCTCGCATACAACAAAGAGTAAACTCAAAGTGAGAACGACACCTGCCCCCTCTTTCCTCTTTTGCGTTAACAACATGTTTTAGTTTTATCGATGAGTTTGTCAAAGCACAATTTATAAAAATAATGTTTAATAAATGTTAGGACTCTATTATTTGCTAACAAAGTAAATTCACCTCCTCAGTTAAGCTGATGTTTTAATGACGCACTGGACACTTGTCACCCACACCATGCCGGAGACAAAGAGTAAACTCAAAGCAAGATGGTTACCTGCCCCCTCTTTCCTCTTTCATGTTGACAATTTTTTTTTAGTTTTATCGATGAGTGTGCTCATTGATCCTGACTTCTTCTTTTTGATTTTATAAAATCAGCACAAATTGTTTTATTCATTTTTGTTTTGTAGGCCAAAGTGTTTTATATAACACTCCTGAGTTAAAATGTTGCTGATCAATTTGAATTTATTAGTATTTATTGATTATATTTTATTTTATTTTTCAGTATCAAATGGTCAAAAATGTTTACAGTTTAAAAAAGGATTTTTTTTTTTTTTCAGGCAAATTGATGCACTTTAAGTTGTTTCTGTTACAGACCAAAAGAACAATGTTAATAAAGTTATTCTTCGTTGTAAATTGATCTATATTCTTTTTTTTTCTTTAATGTTAATAAGGACACAATGTTGGGCAAAGGTGTACTTATTACAATTTTATAGACATATTATTTATAGTCGCGGCAGAGAGTTTGGGGGGCACGAAATGTTTACTTCTTGGGGGGGGGGGGGGGGGCATAACAGAAAATAATTGAGAAGCATTGCCTTATGATGATTTCCCCAGAACATTCCAAAAACCTCTTGCCAGACAATAATTACACGAGTCAAAATGTTTTAAGAGTCAGATCCAAGCTTTAAAAGATTTATTTCCTGTCACAATAAAATCTGGACTACAAACAAGCCTTGAGTCAAGGTTCCAGATACATTCATTCATTCAACCTTTATTTATACAAGTTGGTCTCATTGAGCACAAGGACTCATTTACAAGAGAGACCTGTTTTAACAAAGAAACAAAGATTCACTGATTTTAACAGCATCATGCAGCTCTTTATAGGCCAAGAATTTACAGGAATTGGAGACATTTTGCCAAGAAGAATGGGCAACTTTACCATGTATGAAAATAAAGTGTCTTGTCCACAACTTTCACAAAAGACTGTCATTGATGCTAAAAGAGGCAACACATGGTATTAAGAACTAGGGTATGTACATTTTTGATCAGGGTCATTTGGGTATATTCTGTTGTCATTATGATGCAAGAAAGGCAAAAATAATTGTTTGAAAATAAATGGCTTCACCCAATCACTAACCACGAGGGAAAGAAAAGTGTGTTTCCATTCATATTCTCTGTAAAATGGCCAAAAAAATCCCAAATTCTGCCAGGGTATGTAAACTACTTTAGAGCACAACTATATGGTTGTTTTCTGAGAATTTCATTAGAATCTGTCCAGTGGTTCACTAAATGTTCTTTTGACGCTACAGGTAACCAAATGTGTTATTGCCTCTTTTTGCTTTTGGGCAATAATAATTACAAATGCGGTGTCTTAGTTTACAGTAGTCCCTTGTTTATCACGGGGGGATCCGTAACCTGAAGCCCCGCAATAAGTGAAAAATTCAATTCAGTTTATTTATATAGCACCAACTAACTCCATCACAGAACTCTCATCTTGAGCAAGCACAAAGGCAACAGCGGAAAGGAAAAACTCCCTCATGATGAAGAAACCTTTAGCAGAACCAGACTCAGGACAAGCGGCCATCTGCTTCAACCTGCTAGGTTTGAGAGGAACAGATACACAATGGCAGGTCAAGAACCACGTAAAGATAAAAATAGTATCAAATGAAAACAATTCTATTTTAACAATTCATTTAAGGAAACGATGTCAGTTTGTCCTCCAGTAGTCTAAATTTAAGGTAGTATAACAACCCTAACTTTAGGATTTATCAAAAAGGGAAGTATTAAGCCCAGTCTTAAAACTGGACAATGTGTCAGCCTTACGGACAGAATCTGGAAGTTGGTTCCACAAGAGAGGAGTCTGATAACTGAAAGATCTTCCTCCCATTCTGCTTTTGGAAACTCTAGAGACCACGAGTAAGCCTGCAGTCTGAGAACGAAGTGCTCTGTTAGGAAAATATGGAACAATAACATCTGTAATATAAGATGAAGCTAGGTTTTTGAGAGCTTTGTAGGTTAGAAGTAAGATTTTGATTTCAATTCTGGATTTGACAGGGAGCCAATAGAGAGAAGCTAAAACTGGAGAGATATGATCTCTCCTACTAACTCCAGTTAAGACTCTGGCAGCAGCATTTTGGATCAACTGAAGACTTTTTAAAGAAGTATTTGGACACCCAGATAATAAACCAGTACAACAGTCCAGTCTAGACATGACAAATGCATGAACCAGTTTTTCTGCATAATTTTAGATGAGATGTTTTTTAATTTTAGTGATATTACGCAGGTGGAAGAAGGCGGTTCTAGTAACGTTTTTAATGTGGGGGATAAAATACATGTTGTAGATGAACAGATGCTGAGATATATTCATCAATTAAAACGGATTCTTCATTTTTCTGGACTGTATATAAACGTGCATTGAATTTAACAGAAATGTAACGTGAGACGTCATTTATCTTTGACCCATCAAAATGAATGTGGCCATTTATTTACAGAATCAAAGTTCAACATCAAACATTTACATTAATTTGGCAGAATATGAAAATAACAACATAATCAATCAGCTTTACAACCAGGAAAACCATACGGCCATGATTTTCCGTTGCTACACCACAGACATTAATGAAAACATCTGGATTAATTTTCTAGCAGAAAGGAGAGTTTAAAGATGGAAAATTGAGATTTATCTTACAGAGAGATGTGTGAGGGAATTTGTCTGTTTTAACCAGAACGTGCACGCTCCTTCGGAAATCAGCTTGTCCCAACAGTACACTTTTGGTGAAGGTCGACTTTTACCTTTTCTGAAGATAGATCAGTTCCGGCGTGGAGTCTCACTTCCAACCACTGTTCAGCGTCTCAGTGAGAACAGCTAAAATACCTCGAGAGTCGTGCAAGGTTATCCAAACAGAAGTTATAATTCCCAAAATCGTCTCTGGTTCAGCTTGTTTGGTTTAGCAGCATCCATGAATGCCTGCGTTTGCATTCAGGTACTCCCAAACTCTCTGCATTCTGGATTCCAAGAACTCCGAACTCCATAACTCTGAACTCTACTGTTGAACTGGGAAGTTGCCACATTTAAATGGGCTCTACTTCCGGTTCATTTGAGAGCTTTTTGATTGGTGGATGGACCAAAGCAGAGGTGTGGTTTGTGATGTAAGGTGTTATTAAAAGTCAAGGAAAAGATTCAAATTGTTTAAGAACAGACAGAAAGATATCATGGCAAAACCAGACTTCGTGGAGCCACCTCTCCTGTATCTCGCTGTAAAAGTTAAACATGACATTTCTTTTCAGTAAACTTTCTAGTTGACCGAAGCTTGAACTTTAACACACTTACAACTTTGCTCATTGAAGACAGAAAATCAAGAAATGCATATTAACCTGATTTCTTCTTTGAATGAGGATTAAGGATCATTATTTACTGTTTCACAGTTAATAAAAATGAGTAGTTCACTTCAACATGTAAACATTGTTTGAACTAACACAATTTGATTATCAAAACATTTGTAAAATAGTAATGATCATAGAGAATTGTCTTTTCCACTTGATTAATTCAAGAAAGAAAGTCTCAGGATGGGTCAAACTGTATTTCTGGATTCAAATCAATGAAATGACAGTTTCTGTCCATCTGGTCAGTTTTGACATCAGGCCTAGTCCACTACAATGTCCTGATCAAAAATAACACCAAGATTTTTAACATTAGAGCTGGAGGACAGATTAATGCCATCTAAGGAGGGCAAAAGACTGAAAAAAGTATTCCTATGGTGCTCTGGTCCAAAAACTAAAACCTCAGTCTTGTCTGTTCAAAATCAGAAAATTTAGGGTCATCCAGGTTTTTATGTCTTTAAGACATGCACGTAGTCTAAGTAGCTGATTGGATTCATTGGGTTTCATGGACAAATATAACTGTGTATCATCAGCATAACAATGAAAATTTATCCCATGCTGTTTAATAACATTACCTAATAGAAGCATGTACAAGGTAAAGAGTATTAGCCCAAGCACTGAACCTTGGGGAACTCCATGACTAACTTTGGTGTATGATAAATATTCATTATTTACATTTACAAATGGGAATCTATCTGATAGATATGATTTAAATCAATTTAGAGCTGTTCCTGTAATTCCAATATCATATTCAAGTCTCTGTAGTAGAATATTATGATCAACTGTATCAAATGCAGCACTGAGGTCTAACAGGACCAGTGTAGACACCTGTCCATTATCAGAGGCCATGAGAATATCATTAGTAACTTTCACCAGTGCAAATTCAGTGCTGTACTTTGCGGAGCTCTAAAACCAGGTTTTAGAGCTCCGCCAAGTAGGAATAGTAGTACAAGTAGTAAGTAGTAGTTTTTTTTTAAGGCATTTTAAACCCTTCCCACACTCTTGCAATAGTCTAAACAATGTTTCTAAATGCTCTAAAATAGCACAGAATGTCATGATCTCAACTCTGCCTCTGGCAGCATTTTTGGCCACGCCCACTTCTCTGCTCTGCACAGATATCGGCTGAGCAGCTGCAGGAGGAAGCTTCTCTCACAGCTATGGGCTGCACACAGATGCTAAATAATTTAAAATAATTTATTTTAAATAAAAATACCATGCCTAACGTGCAGCTCATCCATCAAACAGCCAGTTGTGTGTCATGTCCAATCTTACAATGAAAAACCACGATAGAGCAAGTCCACAAAAAAATGAACCGAGAAGTAGTGAGTGACTACTGTACCACATGCTTTAGGTGATGATCCAACTGAAGTAACTTTTTACCTTTTTGTGTTACAGTTGCAGTCGTTGCGACCCACATGAACTCTGACTTGAACCATGTTGAGCCGCCTATTTCTGTGACGAAAAACATAATTGGCTCAAACCCCGAGGGCTTCGACTTGATACTCCTGGGCGACATGTTCTACGACGAGACCCTCGCCAACAATCTCCACAGCTGGCTGGATCGTTGCATCAAAACCCACGGCACCAAGGTCCTGATCGGAGATCCCAGACGAGCGCAGTTTGAGGGACACATCATCAGAAAGTTCCTGCGTCACCTGACCCAGTTTGAGCTGCCCGAGTGTGTCAGAGAGGAGAACTACGGTCTGACGTCCAGTGATGTTTGGTGTTACCATCCTGAGTTCTGAGGACTAAAGTGGATCATTGCTGCTTGATTTGAATTTTTAAATTTTGAAGTAACCACTATAGCCACTTTGCCATTGATAAGTGCGACTCTACTTGACTGTCGTCTTATCGGTTCTTCTCAGGTGTAGATGAATTGCCACTGTGACTTGTTCTCCACTCAGTGGGCGAGATCGTAACAGGTCATTGTGTTCGAGCCACTCCACTCGTTGTGGTCCTTTATTGTCCAATAAATGGACTTCAGTTTCTTTAGCTTATTCTGGCACTGCTTGTAAGTCCAGGTGTAACCATGCTAAGCCGTCATCTTCGATATCTTTCTGTAAATGTGCTCATTTCTTGTGGTGCTGTCCAGTTCACACTGAATCCTAACATTGGTCAATAAAATTAGGAATGTCTGTACCTCATCATTGGTCCACAACACAATTTTTGGAACTTCTATACCAGAAACTAACAAAAACAACACGCTGAACATATTTTGATCTCGCAGGGAGTCCGTCTCGTGGTGATGTATAGCGCTGGGCTACATCGTGCTGAGGTTAGCGAGCTGCTGTCTTCAACGCACCCAAAAGCTGAGACCGTATCACCGCTGAGTGACTGCCTGCATTGGATGATCGTCATCTTAATCTTTTGAACATGATCACAGGAAGCGGTGTCTCAGATGTAGTTTGCAGTTATTGCTGGGCGGGTAATCCAGTGACGTAGCTCCTAAGCAACGGGCTTAGTTACCATGTAACTTCCTCTCTACCATTGCTTGCATCTTCTTAACTTCTGCTGTGGTCACATCTGTTCCAGTTAACTTCTTGTTTTTTGCTCTGTCTTCCCACTTTTCTCAACTGCTACTGCTGTTGTGGTCACACCTGCTTCCTGTTTTCCATTCTGCACTTCTCTATTCTATGAAAAGATTTCTTCATCACTTCTGATAAGTTCTTTACTGACAGTCACAAACCATTTCTAATCACAAAACATTTGATTATAAAGAGTAAATTATACAAGAGATTAAATTTTAAAGGCACATAACAATCACGGATGAATCATTAATCCTCTTTTGATTATAAAGAGTACCGGTAATAATAGAGAAGATTAAGCATTTCCTTTGGTTATTACGTGTTTGTTATACTTTTGATTCTTAATTTTATTTTACCTCTCATGATTAAGTAAACTTAAACTCTTTTCCTTTATTCACTTTAGACAGACACACAAATTCTTTATCTTGAACACTCCGATAACAATTTTTCACTCATTATACCGGTACTCCTTTACCTGCACACCTCTTCACCTAACGATGTGTTTGGGGCTGATCTCATTGCACATTTCTTGACACTGGCCAATCGACGTCTGCTGTCTGCTTACATCTTAATCGTCACCTCGGAGCAGTCCACTTGAAACCATGAACAAAGTGGTCGCATAAACCGGGCTGAGTGGGGGTGGGAACCAGCAGTGGGCTGGTGTGGTGTGGAGCAGAACTGAGGAGAGATGAGGCTGTGGAAAATTGCCAAAAGAGGCTGAAGATTGTAGGATTTAAGAGTTTTATCAAAGTAATGGCACAATCCGTTTGATAACAAGGCCCCAGCAAGATGTAGTGTTAACAAATGTGGAAATGGTTTTGGAGTCAGAATGACCTGGAAAGAATGTGTTAATTATCTTACAGGAATCTAAAAAAAGTTAAGTCTGGTCCTCTGTGTAATATTTCATATTTGTCTTAATAAAGATAATCGACACGCTTCATGAGCCCGGGTCTGTTTATTGCATGCCCGTAACATCTACACTCGATCCTTACGTCACATCCTGTCTACAATATGGCAAGCCCATGAGGTCAATAATTATGACGGTTTACAATACAACATTGTAAATACAACATCTCCCTTTTTTTATTTTTTTTTTTTTATTTTGATGCCACATGTCCTCATTGAACTGGTACACATATTGAATATATTGTCACATGAAAATTATGCTGCAGTAAACAACATGTCAGACTTGTAAACATCATTTCACATTGCACATATTTTCATGTAAACATCATTTTACATTCACATATTTTTCATGTAAACATCATTTTACGTAAACATCATTTCACGTCATCCCACGTGAATATTTCATGTAAACATTCCATCATTTCACACCTTTTTTTTTTTTTTTTTAATTTAGGGCAGCGATCCGCCTGCACCCTTTACAATCATAAGTCAAGAACTGATCTTGGCCTGACCACTCGTCCTGATCTTGTGGTCAGTATGGGGCTGTTATTTTTGGTTTGTGACTCAGAGCCCGATGAAAGCTGTGACTCTGTCTGTTGTTGAGCTGCCTTTTCATGCTGAGCTCCTGGATCAGTTGTCGGTGTTGAAGGTGCTGATGGACCTTTTGTGTCCCTCAAGTGTCGCCGGTTGCGTCGTAGGGTCTGTCCCTCACCTCACTGGTGCGGATGATGAAAGAACGATCCGTCTCTGCAGGTTGGATGACGACAGCTGGTTTCCAGAGTCCTGTGTCATGCTGAAAACGAATATGGTCGCCTTGCTGCAGCTTTGGTAGTGGTGTGGCGCTGTGATTGTAGTATCGCTTCTGGTGTTCTTGTTTTTCCTTCCTTTTAGCCTGTACCGCCGTCTGACTTACGTTGCGTGGCTTTAATTGATTTCTGGTGACTGGAAGTACTGATCGCAGACGTCGGCTCATCAGAAGCTGGGCTGGTGATTTAAAGTCATCAACTGGCGTGTTCCTGTGCTCTAGAAGAGACAGGTAGGGATCTACGCTCTGGGCATGAGCCTTATCCAGAACTGATTTGGCTGTTCTAACTGTTCTCTCAGCAAGACCATTGCTCTGTGGGTACAAGGGGCTTGATGTTGTGTGCACAAAGTCCCATGTGTCTGCAAAGCTTTTGAATTCTTGTGAGCTGTACTGTGGCCCATTATCAGAAATAAACTTTTCTGGTATCCCGTGTCTAGCAAATATAGGTTTGAGTTTTGCGATGACTGCTCCTGTAGTGGTGGATGTCAATCCTTCCAGCTCAAAATAACGGCTGTAATAGTCCACAACTATGAGGTAGTCTTTTCCATGCCAGGTGAACAGGTCTGAGGCTACGACCTGCCATGGTCTCTCCGGGATTTGGTGTGAGATGAGGGGTTCTTTTGGATTTGACGCACGTCTCTCCTGACATATGGAGCAGTTTTCCACTTTGGAGGCAATTTCTTTGCCCATCCCTGGCCAGAAAAGGGCATCCCGTGCTCTCTGTTTACTCCTCTCAATCCCCATGTGTCCAGTGTGGATTTTTTCCAGCATGTTGCCTCTCAGGGTTGCCGGCACGATGATTTTGTCACCTTTAAAGATGATGCCATCATAGTGTGAAATTTCATCTCTGAAATTCCAGAAATCCAGTAGTGTTGTGGGACATTTTTTCCTGTCCTTAGGCCAGCCAGCATGTACAGTTTGCTTTAACTGGATGAGCTGTGGGTCGTTTGCCGTAGCAGCTCGTATCTCTGAAAGCTTTCTGTCACTTACTGGTAGGCTGTTCAACACTGAATGGACCTGGTCCTCCATGCCTTCACTCAACGTGCTGTCTAAGTCAGGCAGGGGCTTCCTGGATAGGGTGTCGGCCACAGGTATGTCTTTTCCCGGGCGGTGCACAATCTCAAGGTCATACCTTTGTAGCTGAAGAAGCATGCGTTGCAGACGCACTGGGGCCATGCAGATTGGTTTTTTCAATATGTGCTCCAACGGCTTGTGGTCCAACTCGACGATGATCCTCTTGCCATATATGTAGGTATGGAAGTGTTTACATCAAAAAAGTACTGCGAAGAGCTCCTTCTCGATCTGTGCATAATTAACCTCGGTTGGGGTCAGTGTCTTTGAGGCATACGCTATTGGATGCTCATCTTGCATTAGTACTGCTCCCAAGCCGTACTTTGATGCATCGACCTGTAGGCGCAGCTCCTTGGTTGCATCGTAGTATGCTAGGATAGGACCTGGTTCTCTGGTTATGAGGTCCTTCATTTGTTGGAACACTCTGTCGTGGTTCTGATCCCAGATGAATTCAGAGTCTTGTTTGAGCAGCTGTCGCAGCGGTGCGTTCACCTCTGACAGGCCAGGTGCAAATCTAGACATGTAGTTCACCATGCCGAGAAATGTCTCCAGTTCATTTTTGTTCTCTGGGGGCGGCATGTCTTTTATAGCCTGAATTTTCTTTGGATCTGGTTTGATACCTTCTCGGGTGAGTCTGTGTCCAAAATAGCTCACTTCATTGGCGCCGATGACACATTTTTCTGGGTTCAGGCGCACTCCTCGCTCCCTTGTGCGCTCTAACATGGCTCGTAGGTTTTCCTCATGTTCCTCTTTTGTCCTGCCATACACCAGTATGTCGTCCACGATGGCTGCCACTCCGTTGAGTCCTTCATACGTCTCGTCTATTTTTCTTTGGAAAATGTCCTGTGCAGATATTATTCCAAATGGAAGACGTAGAAAACGGTACCTGCCGAAGGTCGTGTTGAAGGTCGTCAGGAATGATGATTTTGTTGTGAGTTGGATGGCCCAATAGCCTGAACGTGCATCCATGACACTGAAGTACTGTGCTCCTGCCAGCTTTGGCGTGATGTCATCCAGTGTTGGAAGAGGGTAGTGAGGCCTTTTGATGGCTTTGTTTAACTCACGTGGGTCGAGGCACACTCTGAGTTTTCCATCACGCTTTTCTGCGATCACTAGACCATTTACCCATTCAGTGGGCTCTTTTACTTTGGCAATTATGCCGTTTTTTTCCATTCCATCCAACTCCTGTTTCAGTCGCTCACGCAGTGTGAAAGGAATCCTCCGTGGGGGATACACCACAGGCGCTGCGTCTGGGTTGATGTGTATATCACATTCTCCTGGAAATTTTCCTATGCCTTTGAACACATCAGCAAACTCATCCATAATGTTTGTGCTCTGCACTGACATGACCAGCTTAACTAGGTCTAGGTCCAGGCATGCCCTCAAACTTAGGATGGGGGGTGCTGCTGTCTCCACAATGTCAAAGGTCAGCGTTGTGTGGATGTCCTTCCACTTACATTTGAGCTGGCATGTGCCTTTTATGTCCAGTTTTTCTCCTCCATAACCAGACAGTGAGCGTGTGGGTGGTGCCAGGCTGACTTGTTTAAAAAGCTTTTTAAATATTCGTGCAGGAATAACATTAGCAGTGGCT